GTGTTGTGGAATAGGGGTATTGGTCCCCGTTCGTTTACATGAAAATGCCTTTTTTCTACGTTTTTGTACTTTAAAAAATGATGTTTCTTAAAAAAAATTTTGAATTGTTTTTGGGCTGTTTGGGTCCCAACTTCCCCATTTTTATGAAAAAATTTAGGCTATTATTTTCGAACTTAATATGGAGGTTCTCTTTTGACTTAAACCTTCCAGCTGATATTTAATTCCCTTTAAAAAAATATTCTCCCGTTTTACTAATTTTTTTGCCATTTGGGCAAAGGGGGACTGAGTTTTTGGGAACACGGATACCCTATTTGTCATGAGGTGGGGGGGGCTGGGATCTTGGATTCTTTTTGAATCTTGAGATAGAGAGATGAGCTTAGGGGATACAGGAATATCTTCTTATCTTATCAACTTTTTTGGGGATCATTAAAATAGTGGGTTGGGTTTTGGGTACTCGGGTCGTTGCGGTATATGGAAGGGCTAGGGGCGGGATGCCTTTATCAGAACGCGGGGGGTGGAGGGATGGGTTATGGGATACCGGAAACGTTCTCGGTCATAATTTTTATTAATAATAAAGGGGGGGAAGCGCAAAACCGGGGATTAACGGCCCCGGGGGTGGGGGATGATGTGGAAGGCCTCAGGTAATTCGGGGAACGGGAGACAGATCCAACCCCAAAATAAAAGAGCCCTCACCAAAAAAGGGAACCCTTTCCCCTTGGGGGTCCGGATATAGAGTGAGGGGTGATCGGGGGATTCAGGGAGCATTTCCTTTTTCACGAAAGTTGATGGGGCTGGGCCTTTTTGGTTACGGGATTCGACCGTTTTTTTTAAACAGCCATCCTTCCAATTTCCCCCTTTTTCTTTTTAAAAAAACATTGAGAAACAGACACAGCAAACCTTCATGACGCACATAAAGCCATTTTGTCGCTCAAATCAGACAGCTCTGCATAGTGATTCACGCAGTCGCACAGCCAACTTTTCTCTACTCTGTCAACCAACTCATGCGGCTGGGGTAGCCCGGCTCTTTTTTCGATCTTTACCATTTCCCCCCTCCACTATCGCCATATCCATATCCCTTTCCCCACAGGGTCTTACCTGGGGGTATCCCGCCTGCCCAGTATTATGAGAAGTGGATGGTTGGGGGGCCGGGGGCCTTAGGGGTAGGGGATACCCAATAAAAAGAGCAAGGGCTGAAAACATTTAAAAAGCTTCACTATGAAAATCGTTTTATCATACAACCATTATTTTCTTTTTTTTATTCCCTTTAGGGGGGCGGGCACCTTCTGCATGAAAGGGGTTTTCATCCCCGGAATTTAAAAAACCTTTCCTTCCCTTGGGGTCAAATCTGATTATTTTTCCCTTTCCCAGGGTCTGTATGACCCCCGTAAGTTTAACATTCCCCAATATATGTAATATTTTTTAAAAAAAAAATTCACTGATAAAGAATTTATAACGAAAAAATGTTGCCAGATTGATTTTTTCGGGCAATAAAATTTTTTGGTGATAATAATATTTTTTTTTTTATCCTATTTTTTTGTAAAAAAAAAATTTTTAAAAATTTTTTTTTTTTTTTAATATGTATCATTCCACTGAGGCAAGAAAAAACTTTTACCATCATTACACTATCCTGTCTTTTCAGAGGTGCACAGATACGAAAGTTTTTTGAGTTACTCCAAAAGCAAAATCCCCAACCCCTTTCAAAATGCAGGGGTTGGACGCCCATCTCCAGGAACCAAGTTGACTAACCGGTTTCCTGAATCCCTTCACAAATTTTACCCCTTAGACTCCAATCTAAGTCCCAAAAACCATTCATCTCCACTCCATTAAATGCCTCGCATGCCTGCTTAAGTCCAAAGGCCCCTTAAGCACACAAACTCTTTTTTCCCCTCCTTCCTTTTTCTAGGACGACCCCACCCTCGTTCCTTCCACTACAAATTTATACACCTTCCAAATCATCCCATTTGCTCCATCTCTAATGACCAAACCACCTCGCCCCCTGAATAATCTTTAGCAACTCCACACATCCTCCAATTTTTACACACAATTCTCTGCTAATGTTTATGCTACACTTTTAGGTCACTTTTCCCCTGCCCCAGCCACCCCTCCCGTAAATTCACAATATTTCAACCCATAAAAGGGGTTTGTACCGTATACTCTCTCATAACCTTTTTGCCTCCCTGGTAAGTTTTTTTGTTTCCACAGATCCCCAGTGCACTTTCCACCTTTTATTCCTTCACAAAATTTTTGGTTTACCTCGTCCTTCTAAAAACCCCCCCCGCTGAAAAGTTACTCCCCAAAAATCCCAAAAACATTCCTTTATCTCCCTCCATCCAATTGATATACAGTTTTTTTTTTACCCACTCATTTGATACCCCCATCACTTCCCCCTTTTCTATTTCCTTTTAACTTTATTTCTTTACACCCACACTTTATCACTAGCCCCTACAACTTCTCTTCTGAATCTCCCAAAAGCACGGTATCATCAGCAAAAATTAAATGTGTCAATTCCCATTTTGTATTTGTATCCACATAATTTAGTACCACCCCTCTCACCAAAACCCTAGCATTTAGATTATTTCCCAGTAAAAGTAGGCCTTAGACAAGGATGTATGATGTCACCATGGTTCAATATATTTATAGATGAGGTTGTAAGAGAAGTGAATGCTCGGGTGTTGGCAAGAGGTAACAAAAGATTGGATATCAGATTGGAGGGAAAGAGTATGGAGGAGGTAAATGTATTCATATATTTAGGAGTGGATGTGTCAGCGGATGGGTCTATGAAAGATGAGGTGAATCATAGAATTGATGAGGGGAAAAAGGTGAGTGGTGCATTGAGGAGTCTGGGGAGACAAAGAACTATGTCCATGGAAGCAAAGAGGGGAATGTATGAGAGTATAGTTTTTCCAATGCTCTTGTATGGGTGCAAAGCATGGGTGGTGAATGTTGCAACAAGGAGAAGGCTGGAGGCAGTGGAGATGTCGTGTCTGAAGGCAATGTGTGGTGTGAATATAATGCAGAGAACTCAGTTTGGAAATTAGGAGGAGGTGCAGGATTGCCAAAACTATTATCCAGAGAGCCGAGGAGGGGTTGTTGAGGTGGTTCGGACATGCAGAGAGGATAGAACGAAATAGAATGACTTCGAGTGTATAAATCTGTAGTGAAGGGAAAGTGGAGTAGAGATCAGCCTAGGAAAAGTTGAAGGGAGTAGGTAAAGGTTTTCTGTGATAGGGGCTTGGACTTCCAGCAAGCATGCGTGAGCTTGTAAGATAGGAGCAAATGGAGACAAATGGTTTTTAGGACTTGACGTGCTGTTGGAGTGTGAGCAAGGTAGCATTTATGAAGGGATTCGGGGAAACTGACAGGTCAGACTTGAGTCCTGGAGATGGGAAGAACAGTGCCTGCACGCTGAAGGAGGGGTGCTAATGTTGCAGTTTTATAACTGTAGCGTAAGCATGCTTCTGGCAAGACAGTGATGGAGTGAATGATGGTGCAAGTTTTTCTTTTTTGGGCCACCCTACCTTGGTGAGGAGCTGATGTGTTAATAAAATAATAAAAATTACTTATTTTACAACCCCATCTATGTTAAACAACCATGTTGACATCATCCATCCCTATCTAAAGCCTACTTTTGCTGTAATCTCCCTCTGTCCTACACATCTTAATCTGAGCCTCACTACCTGTTCCATACACTTGCAACATTTGTCACATTGCTTCCTTATTCACCCTATCATATGCCTTTTCTAAATCCATAAAAGCAATGAAAATTTCCTTATCTTTATCTAAATATTGTTCACTATATGCTTCAATGTAAACATTTGGTCTACACATCCCCTACCCATTCTAAAGCCTCCTTGCTCATCTGCAATCCTGCTCTCTGTCTTGCCTCCAATTCTTTAATTAATAATACTATTATTATTTTAATCAAATATCTTCATATAATTGATCTTACATAATTATATATCAGATTGTAAAGAATAATTGGATATTACGATGACTGACTTTGTATATGATTCAGTTTTAAACAACTTGGCATGATTTTATAATTATTACATTATCTTTGACATTAACTCTTAAGAACTTGGTTTAAATATATATATATCTTGGGATATTTTTACATCCGTTTTAATCATTGTAATAGCTATTGTAAATGTTGAAATATATTGGTAACTGTTAGTGAGAACAATAACAGTTAAGAAGAGATTTAAAGAAACTGGTTACCTAGACTCGAGTCCTGGAGTTGAGGAGTACAGTGCCTACACTTTGAAGGAAAGGTGGGATGTTGTAGTTTAGAGGATCATCTGCACTGTCATGTTGGTGCCTTTCTGGCAAGGCAGTGATTAAGTGACAGTAAAAGTGTTTTATTTGTCGGGTCATCATACTTTGGTGGGAGATGGCGTGTTAAAAAAAAACTAATCGTGGAGAAGTGCTAAACCCATTAAGGTCATCGAACACCTGGGAATGGAAGCTATTCAAGTTTGATCCATGGGATGATAGGATAAGTTCAGTTCCTTGGATGAAGAGCCCCACACTGACATCACAGCAGTTTCCTTTAAGCTCTAACCCCTAACTCAAAGTCTTAAGTTAGACTTTTATGATCCTGGAACATCAAAGAAGACTCTATCAGACAGGTAACTTTCAATCCAACAAAGAATTCATCTGTATCCACCTTTTCTAGCAAGTTTCACTAACTGTTACATGTCAATTAGCTATATCAAATGCAGCTCTGTGGTCAAAGTTGTCTAAGAGCTGTCAGTGTACAGGGTGAGAAATGTGGTTACAAAATGATAAACACTCCTTTCATAAATGTAACCATGTAGCTGGCATACATAAACTGCTTTATTCCATGCATGAGATGATTCAGTACCCTCTTCTCATATGTTTTATACAAGTAGCTAGTAAGATATGTTGGGCAAAATGTATTTGAGTGGACCTCATTTTAATGAACAATAAAATAAAAAAAAATATTTTTTTCAAAATTTATTATCTATGATTAAAATTGTCAAAATTTATGCACTATAATAGTAGATAGAGCACCTTGAACAACATCACCATATAAATACATAGACCACATATTATAACAAAAAATAATACTTTAATTTACATAATACTATGTATACTATTATAATATAATTATGCAGTACATAATAGATTAACATAATAAAATTTTTACACATTTTGTTTGCCAGTGAGGATTGTGATAAGGAATGAAACAGAATGAAAGAGGTTATAATGAGTGAATTATCATATTTTATGGTATATAAGACAATTTGATTTTTTTCACGCTCTGACCCTCAAATTATGAAGGTTTGTAATCTGTAATTGTTTTACATGATGGTAGGATTGCTGGTCTCTTTTCTTGTTTCATAAACACATGGGATAACAGGTATATTTTGCTACTTCCAATTACACTTTAAGTCACACTTAGTGTAATTGGATATACAGTGGACCCCCGGTTAACGATATTTTTTCACTCCAGAAGTATGTTCAGGTGCCAGTACTGACCGAATTTGTTCCCATAAGGAATATTGTGAAGTAGATTAGTCCATTTCAGACCCCCAAACATACACGTACAAACGCACTTACATAAATACACTTACATAATTGGTCGCATTCGGAGGTGATCGTTATGCGGGGGTCCACTGTATATAGATGCATACACATGAATGTATATGCATCTATATATATACCCATCTGGGTTTTCTTCTATTTTGTTAATAGTTTTTGTTCTTTATTTCCTCTTATTCCCATGGGGAAGTAGAACAGAATTTTTCTTCCATAAGCCATGCATGTCTTAAGAGGTGACTAATATACTGGAAGAAAGGAGCTAGTAACCCCTTCTCCTGTATAAATTGCTAAATTTAAAAAAAAAAAAAGTTTTTCTTTTTAGGTCACCCTGCCTAGGTGGGATACAGCCGGTGTGTTGAAAGAAAAAATTTTGGTGCATCTTATATACCGCAAAATACAGTCATTGATGCATGATTTGGAAAATGTGGTTTAGTAAATTAGACAAAGACAGAGATGAGAAATTAGCTTCCCATATTTTGATACAACAATAAAATGTTTTATCTATAAGGTTTATAGTAATGTTTATTAATTATTAGATTGGATAAATTACACTGCAGTTCTACAACATAAATCCCCACAAAAAAATATCAGTTAACTCAAAAGTTCTTGGTCCAAACCATTTTATATAAATTCATTGTGAATGCAATTCTGTAAATCTGTATGGTAAATATTGAAACAAAGATTCTTACATCTATATTACTTATATTTTTCCATTAATACCCATTTCAATATTATTTCCTCAAGATTTTCTATTAAAGGAACTTTAAATTATTACATTTTTCACTACCTTTGTTTCTGTTATTAGTACAAGACTTTGCTGTGACATTACAAAATGGTGCTTTCTACTTAAGCATAGTACAGTAAATATGAGGTGAAAATATGAATGATTTGGTTATTTATGCACAGATTTTCAAGCATTTTTTTTATTTTTGATATGACAACACTTAACCCTTTGACTGTTTTGGCTGTATATATACATCTTATGAGTCAGTGTTTCGGACGTATATATACTCAATAATTCTAGTGGCTTAAAATCAAGCAGGAGAAAGCTGGTAGGCCCACATGTCAGAGAATGGGTTTGTGTGGTCAGTGTGCACTGTATAAAAAAAATCCTGCAGCACGCAGTGCATAATGAGAAAAAAAAAAACTCTGACCGTGTTTTTGGATTAAAACGCCGACTTTGAGGTGTACATTGTAATTTCCTATAGTATTTATGGTTGTATTCTCGTTTTCTTGGTCTCAACTGATAGAATGGGAAACATATTACAGAAGTAGAGATGATTTTGATTAGTTTCACGATGAAAACGACCTTGAAAATGAGCTCAAAGTAGCAGAAATGTTCGATTTTTACCAATGTTCAAGAGTAAGCAAATCACACCACACGTCCAATACACGTCAACTGGGGAGTCTAATATTCTTTCACTAGTGCACTGATATTATTTAAACTATTTTTACAATAATGCAGTAGTCTGCATAACAGCAAATCTTCTATTTTTTGTGTGAATAAAAAATCAAAACAGAAAGCAAGAGTAATATAAGAGGGGCCTGGAGACGTGACTAATGAACAGAGGATATGTTATTTTAGTGCCAAGAATGTCTGCATTATTTATTCTGAACCCTATTTTGAAATTGGCATCTTTTTTAATTTTCATGAAATTGGCCAAATTGCCAATTTCTGACCACTTTATTGGGTAGTTGAAATCAGTCAATGGGCAGTTTCTTGTACTCAACTGATAGAAAAAATGGAGTTCTAAAGAATTAGCCATGAGTTTGGTCGACTGGAACAATGGAATTGGCTGAAAATAGGGCTCAAATTCGGCAAAATCGCCGAAGCATATACATCGCAGAGATTGCTAACTTCGCGGGAGCGTAATTTTGTAAGTTTTCCATCAAATTTCGTACTTTTGGTGTCATTACCGTCAGGAAAAGATTCTCTATCATTTCATAAGAATTTTTTTTTTTTTTTTTTAATTTTTTGACACCAGGAGACACTTCAGGATTTGGGGTTGCGACAGTTAAAGGGTTAATGCAAGATAGAATATATAGTACGTATGTATATATTAGCTAAATACTTTAAAATTTTGGAAATTTGAAGCAATTTAACAATCAATACAGTGGACCCCCGGATATTGGCTGGGTGCAGATATCAGCCAATTCGAATTTTGGCTGCTTTTATGGCCGAAATTCTATCCTGGATTTCGGCCTGCAACTCTGAAATTGGCCGTATTGGACGCGTCCGCCCACCACTCCGCCACGCATTCATCCAAACATTTCGTTATAATCCATTGTTTTTCTGTGGTTGTTTATTGAGTGTGACTGCGAAATAAGCCGCCATGGGCCCAAAGAAACATGTTACATAGTATATATAAAAAAATGCAATGTTTATATGCGATGTATGTTTAATAATAATCACTCTTGGGCACATTAAATGTCTCATTTTAGGTTAATATAGACATTTTTTATAATACCATTTATGATATTTTCTTCAGAATTATGTAACACATTACATAGCATATAAACATGAAATGTTTATATGCTATTGAGCAGTGAGTCGGGTGGAGAGTAAACATTACATTTTCTCTGAGTCAACGTTAGAGAAACTGTGAATCTGGCATCTGGCCCAGTCACCGCCCTTCATACGCATTTGTTTACAATTCTCGGCATGAATTATTCATTACTCTCACCCTTTGTTTATGATGGCATCTAAAGGTATATTTTAGAAACAATTAAACTCAGTGAACATGGTAATAATATGGCTGTGTAGTGTAGCCCAGGAGGGGACTGTTACATATGTGTACCTACATCTACCACTGCCTACACTATCTTCCTACAAATAAATACTACTCACCTCTCGCCCTACATTGACTACAAATATTTTAAGGTAAGTAATGAATGTACTGTGGCAGTAAATGACAAAGAAGGGCAGTAACCCTTGATATCTTTAGTCCTTATGGAGGGGGATTCTCAACTCCCTATCCCCTCCTCACCTTCTTCAATACACCAACAAGTCTTCAATAAAGGTATGTAATGTTCATTTATCATTAAAACTTGTGCTTTATATTTATTTCTCAATGTTTTCTGCATGTAAAACTATAGTTAATCTTTAAAAACTGTATTTTTTGTTAATATTTTTGGGTGTCTTGAACGGATTAACTGTATTTACATTAATTCTTATGGTAAATATTACTCGGTTTTTCGGCCTTTTCGGATTTAGGCCGACCTTCTGGAATGGATTATGGCTGATAACCGGGGGTCCACTGCATTTATACTTAGCAATTAAGCTGATCATCTTTGCATAAACAATATTAATTTTCAATGAATCAATGCTTATATTATTTTCTTGACCTTTGTATTATTCTTACTAAATTCTCAAATAAATCTTTGCAGTTTATTCATTCACAGAATGAGGTACATATCTAGTATGCAAATAAATGAATGTATCTGTAGTTATATTTTATATTCTCAACCATTATACCAATCAAGGAAGAGGATTGTACATGACATTACAATCAAGAAGAACATGATCCACACTCGAAAACCGGCATCCTTCCGCATAGCTTCACGAACCTTTGGAAAAAAATGAGCAATTGTTTGTTAATCTCATTGACACTGCTATTTTAAAAATTATTTAATTATATACACTTTAATACATGAAATTCATAAATCCTTATTATAATTGTTATTATTACTAATACAGTGGACCCTCGACCAACGATATTAATCCGTTCCTGAGAGCTCATTGTTAGTCGAAATTATCGTTAGTCGAGTTAATTTTCCCCATAAGGAATAATGGAAATCAAATTAGTCCGTTCCTGACACTCCAAAGTATTGAAAAAAAAAAATTTTACCACATGAAATATTAATTTTAATACACACAAACTGAAGAAGACATGTACAATTACATGACACTTACCTTTACTGAAGATCTGGTGATGATTGATGGGATGGGAGGAGAGGAGATGTGTGGATGGTGTTAGTGTTTAGAAGGGGAATCCCCTTCCATTAGCACTTGAGGTGTCAAGTCCTTGAGGACATTGTTTTTCCTGAACACACTGGGAGTTTCAGAGTGATACACCAATAAAGGCTTCACTTTGCAATCACCACTAGCATTAGCACACATCAACAGAGTAAGCCTGTCTTTCATAGGCTTATGTCCTGGGAGTGCCTTTTCCTCCTGAGTAATGTAGGTCCTGCTTGGCATTTTCTTCCAAAACAGGCCTGTTTCATCACAATTAAACACTTGTTCAGGTTTCAATTCTTCACTGTCTATGTACTCCTTGAATTCCTTCACATATTTTTCAGCTGCTTTTTGGTCCGAACTGACAGCCTCACCATGCCTTATCACACTATGTATGCCACTACGCTTCTTAAATCTCTCAAACCAACCTTTGCTGGCCTTAAATTCACTCACATCACCACTAGTTGCAGGCATTTTTCTAATTAAATCATCATGCAACTTCCTAGCCTTTTCACATATGATCGCTTGAGAGATGCTATCTCCTGCTATCTGTTTTTCGTTTATCCACACCAATAACAGTCTCTCAACATCTTCTATCACTTGCGATCTCAGTTTCGAAAACATAGTTGCACCTTTGGCAAGAACAGCTTCCTTGATTGCCGTTTTCTTGGCCACAATAGTAGCGATGGTTGATTGGGGTTTTGTGTACAACCTGGCCAGCTCGGAGACACGCACTCCACTTTCATACTTAGCAATGATCTCTTTCTTCATATCCATAGTAATTCTCACCCTTTTTGCTGTAGGGTTGGCACTAGTAGCTTTCTTGGGGCCCAGGGTGACTTATTTTGCAGGTGCAATCACTAAAAACGCTGTGATAATATGAAATGTTCCGATTGTATGTTTGGATGGGAATGCTGTGGCTGGCTGGCTTGTAAACACTGGCGCGCTCAGGCCACAAGTGGACACGTCTCGAACGGAACGAATCGTGTTGGTCGAGTTTTTTAGCGCTAGTCGAGGGAAAATTTTTGCGTTAAAATGTATCGCTAGTTGGATTTAACTTTAGACGATGCCATCGTTGGTCGAGGGTCCACTGTATTTTGATGGAAATTGTTAAACCCAATGGGGGTCATACAGCACCTGGGTGATGAGGCAGTCAGGCTCAATCCAAGGAAACAAGGTTAACTCCAATATGCTCGATTAAGAGACCTTCACTGGCATCAAGGCACTGCCCTTGAAATGTTCATGAAAGACATACAACATAAGGACAGGCCTGTATTATAGGCCAACTTTATCATGCCTTTTAAATAGACCATCAAAATGCAAATTTATATATCTTATAGCAGTAGGAACAAGAAGACTGATTTAGTGGAAAAGGAGGAAGGAAGAGTCGGGTTGATATTCAAACCAGTATTTCTTTCACAAGAGAAAGTGATCTAAACATCCTTTAGTTTTTTCTATGGTGCCACTACTTTGGATTACAGCCAAATAATTTTAAGTCCCATCATTATCACAAATGAAATTTTCAGTTTATACTGACAGGAACAAGGAATCCTGTAAAGTAATTGGAGCAACAGCTAAGCCTATCACAATCGATGGACAAGCACAAGTTCTTATTTGTGCACTACTGGTGATGTGATTAGTGCTGCTCTCAAGAAGTCAGGTTGGAATATTGATTCTTCCACAATTCTTCCCCTTGCAATATTATTACTTTTAAGTGTGTGTGTGAAATTAATGCAAGTCTATCAATGTTTGAAAACCCTTGTTTCAATACCCCAAAATGTTTTTCCAACAAGATTTACTGTAAAGGTTATGGTGTAGAGGCCATGAATAACATCACTGTTCCTGTGTTACCTAACCCAATGCTGCTTGACATATGCATATGGCAGATGTCAGTTGGCAGTGTTACCTGTCAACAGCATGATTTTTTTTTATCTCAAGCTCACTCCATTCGTTGGCATTGTCAAGGCATTGTATCGACTGTTATTTATACCCCTTCATAGAATGTCAGGGGTAATAACTGTAGTTAATCTTGCATGCCATTAGAAACTTACAATGATCCCACAATTAGTTTTGTTATTTTTGGCTTCAGTAAAATTTTATCAGGTCATCTCAGTTTTTTTTCTGTAGACCTAGAATTTAAGATTGATGTGTATTTTATTGACAGATTATCATGACGATGGGAGGAAAGAAGTGGGTGATTCGCCCTTTTCTTCTAGTGTAAGGTAAATAAATGGCACCACATTATTACTCTGTTACAGTATTACAAGTTATTCATCAAAGAATAAGACAAATATGTATAGAACAAAATGCTTAGACATATACCTGGAGGGTATTCCGAGAGTCAACGCCCCCCACAGCCCAGTCCATGACCAGGCCTCGCAGTGGATCAGAGCCTGATCAATCGGGCTGTTATTGCTGGCCGCATGCAGACCGACATATGAACCACAGCCTGGCTGGTCAAGTACTGACTCTAGGTGTCTGTCCAGCTCCCTCTTAAAGACAGCCAGGGGTCTATTGGTAATCCCCTTATGTTTGTTGGGAGGCAGTTGGCCAATCTTGGGCCCCAGACACTTACTGCATTGTCTCTTAGCATACTCATGGAGTACCTGCTTTTCACTGGGGGGATGTTGCACTGCTTGCCGAGTCCTTTGCTTTCATAGGGCGTGATTTGCATATGCTAGTCCCTCTACGATTTTCCAAGTGTTTATTATCATGTATCTTTCTCACCTGCAATCCAAGGAGTACAGGTCAAGGACCATCAACTGTTCCAGCAATTTAGGTGTAATCCAAAGTTATAATGTAATAGAACAGTAGTTTATCACTACTTCACCTCTTGCAAAATTTCAACTAGGTGAAAATAAACTACTGTCTTTAACCTGACAGAACCATCTGTAATTATTCCTTGATCCTGAAACTGCCAATAGAGGTAAAATGAAATTGTATTGTAATGCCAATATATTTTTTGAAAAAAATTTTTTTTACTAAAAAATTGGCCTTGATTTTATGTGTATTTTAACCCTTTCAGGGTCCAGAGGCCAAATTTCAAAGTGCCCACCAGGGTTAAAGAATTTTGAAAAAATAATTTTGTTTTTTTCTTATGAAATGGTAGAGAATCTTTTTCTGAAGGTAATAAAACAAAAAGTATGAAATTTGACGGAAAATTGACGAAATTATGTTCTCGCGAATTTTTATGTGTCGGCGATATTTATGCAGCGGCGATTTTGCCAACTTTGACTCCCATTTCAGGGCAATTACAGCATTCCAGTCAACCAAATTCTTAGCTATTTCACTAGTATTACTTCTATTCTATCGATTGAGCACAAGAAATCGGCAAGTCAACTTTTTCAACAACAAAATGAAGTGACTGGAAATTGGTAATTTGACCAATTTAATGCACAGTTCAAAATATTCCAGTTTCAAAATAGGGTCCAGATTAAACAATGCATGCATTCCTGGCACTAAACTAACATTTTCTCTGTTCATTAGTTACGTTTTCAGGCTTTACTAATGAATTCCATTTTGATTTTTTATTCACATAATGAATTTTTATTCAAACCCAAAAATAGAAGATTTACTGTTATGCAACACTGTAATAATTGTATAAATAATATCACCACATTTGTGAATGTATATTAGACCCACCAGCTGTCATGTATTAGACTTGAGGTCACTTGTTTACTCTTGAACATCGGCAAAAATTTAACATTTCTGCAACTTTGAGCTCAGTTTCAAGCTATTTCCAGTACAGTGGACCCTCGCCTAACAATGGCATCACATAACATTAAATCCGCCTAGCGATACATTTTAACGCAAAAATTTTGCCTCGCCTAGCGCTAAAAAACTCGCTCAATGCGATTCGTCCAAGACGCGTCCATGTGCGGCCTGAGCTAGCCTCACTTGTTCCACGGGTGGCAGTGTTTACAAGCCAGCCTCCGTGGTCACATCCAAGCATACAATCGGAACATTTCGTATTATCACAGCGTTTTTAGTGATTTCACCTGCAAAATAAGTGACCATGGGCCCCAAGAAACTTCTAGTGCCAACCCTACAGGAATAAGGGTGAGAATTACTATGGATATGAAGAAAGAGATCATTGCTAAGTATGAAAGTGGAGTGCGTGTCTCTGAGCTGGCCAGGTTGTATAGTAAACCCCAATCAACCATCGCTACTACTGTGGCCAAGAAAACGGCAATCAAGGAAGCTGTTCTTGCCAAAGGTGCAACTTTGTTTTCGAAACAGAGATCGCAAGTGATAGAAGATGTTGAGAGACTATTATTGGTGTGGATAAACGAAAAACAGATAGCAGGATATAGCATCTCTCAAGCGATCATATGTGAAAAGGCTAGGAAGTTGCATGATGATTTAATTAGAAAAATGCCTGCAACTAGTGATGTGAGTGAATTTAAGGCCAGCAAAGGTTGGTTTGAGAGATTTAAGAAGTGTAGTGGCATACATAGTGTGATAAGGCATGGTGAGGCTGCCAGTTCGGACCACAAAGCAGCTGAAAAATATGTGCATGAATTCAAGGAGTACAAAGACAGTGAAGGACTGAAACCTGAACAAGTGTTTAATCGTGGCAAAACAGGCCTGTTTTGGAAGAAAATGGGGT